CCATTACCTCTTCAAAATTGAAGGGATCTGTTAATTACAAGAACTGGGCCACCTCTGTTCGAGTTTGGTTCTTTGGACAAGGATATGGGAACCATCTCACAACTAAGTCTACTGATGTCCCTAAGGAGGACAAGTCTGATTGGGAAAAGATTGACAACCAGCTTCTGAGTATCCTCTGGCAATCCATTGATCCGATTGTCTTGGATATCTTTTATTCATTTCAAACTTGCACTGAAGTGTGGGAGGAAGCAAAAAACCTCTACACTAATGATGTTCAGCAGCTCTATTTCATCATCTCTCAGTTTATGGAATTGAGCAAATCATCCGACATTCAGATGGAGACATATATTGGCAAGAGTCGCTCTTTGATGCAGGCATATTTGGATATGCTGCCTTACCCTACTGATGCTACTGCATATCGGAAACAGGTGGAACGTCTCTTTATGGTTGCCACACTTTCTGGCCTTCCCGAAGAATATGATAATGTTCGTGATACTATCTTGACTAGTGGGGAGCCTGATCTATCCATGACGTATCAGCGTCTTCTGAATTTGAATAAGAAATCTGCTCCTGCATCGTCTTCTGCTGTTGATTCTACTGCTCTAGTTTCCCATACTGATTTTCGCGGGCATATTGGAGGTGGACGTGGTCGTGGTAGAGGCCCAGGAGGCCGGGGCCCAGGAGGACGTAGCCCAGGAGGTCGTGGCCTAGGAGGCCGAGGAGGTCCAGTCGGACGTGGTCAGCGACCTCGTTGTCATTACTGTCAGCAACTTGGTCATTATGAGGAACGCTGCTACACCAAGTATCCTCACATGCGACCTTCTTTTGCTGCTAATGTAGCTCAATCGGATACTGCTTCAAATGGTTCAGTCTCTCTCTCCTCTGAAGAATATGCAGCATTCCAGGCCCTTCTCAGGAAGTCCTCTCCTCAATCTCAGGCCTCTACTTCAGAAACTGGTAATCCTGTTGCTTGTGTTTCTCATTCTGCATCACTTGGTCCTTGGATATTTGACTCAGGTGCTACTGATCACCTCTGTGGTAATAAGGAACTCTTTTCTTCCCTTACATATTCTAATAATTTACCCTCTTTTACTCTTGCTGATGGAACTAAGGCCCCCGTTCATGGGATTGGACCAATCTGTCCAACCTCCTCATTGACCTTGACATCTGTCTATTACATTCCTCACATCCCTTATAATTTAATATCGGTTAGTAAATTGATCAATTCTCTTAATTGTATTGTCACATTCTCAAACCATTCTGTTTCTGTGCAGGACCCGGGTACGGGGAAGATGATTGGAGTGGGCCGTGAGTCACGGGGTCTGTTCTACCTTGATGTGTCGAGTCCTTCAGTTGCTTGTTCTCTCACAGAATCTCCACAGCTCATCCACAGTCGTCTCGGGCATCCTAGTCTTGCGAAATTGCAGAAGATGGTTCCTCTTTTATCCGGTCTTCAAACTTTAGATTGTCAGTCATGTCAGCAAGGAAAGCACATACGCTCCTCCTTTGCTAATCGAGTCAATAAACGAGCTGATGCTCCTTTTTCAATTATTCATTCAGATGTTTGGGGTCCTAGTTGTAGTGTGTCTATTTTAGGTTTTCGGTATTTTGTCACCTTTATTGATGATTTCTCCCGTTGTACTTGGATTTATTTAATGAAAAACCGTTCTGAGTTGTTTTCTATTTATCAAAAGTTTTCTGCTGAAATTCATACTCAATTTGGTGCTTCTATTCGTATTTTACGTAGTGATAATGCTAAGGAGTATGTTTCTGTTGACTTTTCTCACTTCTTAGCCACACAGGGTACTTTACACCAAACCACTTGTCCTCACACTCCACAACAAAATGGAGTAGCTGAACGTAAGAATAGACATCTCATTGAGATTGCCAGGACAATTCTTATTCACATGCATGTTCCTCTTCACTTCTGGGCTGATGCAGTCCTTGCTTCTTGCTTTCTCATCAACCGCATGCCTTCATCTGTGCTTAATAATGATATTCCTCATAACTTATTGTTTCCAGATGTTCCTCTCTTTCCTCTATCCCCACATGTTTTTGGTTGTACCTGTTTTGTTCATGATCTCACTCCTGGTAAGGATAAGTTAACATCCAAAGCCTTTAAATGCATTTTTCTTGGTTATTCTCGTCTTCAAAAGGGTTATCGCTGTTACTCTCCTGACCTCAAGCGTTACTTAGTTTCCGCGGATGTCACCTTTTTTGATCAACAACCCTTTAATTCTATCCCATCTCCATTGTCACAGGTTGATCATGTTCTTCCTGTTCCTTTTCTTGACTTGTCTTTGCCAGATGCAGGTGCTTCTACTCCAGATAAGCAATCACCTATTGCTCCAGTACCTAAGGACCGTCCACTTCTCACTTATCAGCGTCGTAAGACAGTACCTCCAGTCGACTCGACCCCTGCTGACTCATTGCCCTCTGCAGTTGATTCTTCCCCTCCGGATCCTTCTCCAGAGGCTCTTCCCATTGCTCAAAGAAAAGGTACACGTACTACTCGTAACCCTTATCCTCTTTATACCTTCTTGAGCTATGATCGCCTTTCTTCTCCTCATTTCACCTTTGTTTCTAGTCTTTCTTCTGTTTCTATTCCTAAGACCACAGGTGAAGCACTTTCCCATCCAGGATGGCGCCAAGCGATGCTTGATGAGATGACCGCACTTCATACCAATGGCACTTGGGACCTTGTTTCTGCTCCTCCAGAGAAGTCTATAGTTGGTTGTCGCTGGGTGTTTATTGTGAAAGTTGGACCTGATGGCCATGTTGATCGTCTCAAGGCACGCCTAGTTGCCAAGGGTTTTACTCAAATCTTTGGCCTTGATTATAGCGATACATTCTCTCCAGTCGCTAAGATGGCGTCCGTCCGCCTATTTCTTGCCCTTGCTGCTGTTCGTCACTGGCCACTCCTTCAACTTGACATCAAAAATGCCTTTCTTCATGGTGATTTACAAGAAGAAGTTTACATGGAGCAACCACCTGGTTTTGTTGCTCAGGGGGAGTCTGGGAAGGTATGTCGTCTTCGAAAATCCTTATATGGTCTCAAGCAGTCTCCTCGAGCATGGTTCAGTCGCTTCAGTTCTGCTGTACAGGCGTTTGGCCTAATTCGCAGTAAAGTTGACCATTCTGTATTCTATAGGATTACATCTCCTAACAAGTGCATCTATTTGTTAGTCTATGTTGATGACATCATCCTCACCGGAAGTGATCAAGACGGAATCCATCAGTTAAAACAACATTTATTCAGTGCATTTCAAACAAAGGACCTTGGGAAGCTGCGTTACTTCTTGGGAATTGAGGTGGCGCAATCTAGACAGGGCATTTCTATCTGTCAAAGGAAGTATGCCTTGGATATCCTAGAGGAGACTGGTATGTTGGGGTGTAAACCAGTTGATACACCCATGGATCCTAATGTTAAGTTATTGCCCAGACAGGGGGAGCCGTTATCTGATCCTGGACGTTATCGAAGGCTGATTGGGAAGCTCAATTATCTTACTGTGACTAGGCCAAATATTTCTTTCGCTGTCAGTACGACCAGTCAGTTCCTTGATTCCCCTTGTGATTCACATTGGGATGCTGCTGTGAGGATCCTCCGATACATCAAAGGAGCACCAGGAAAAGGTTTGTTGTATTCGGATCAGGGAAATACAGAAATTTGTGGTTACTCAGATGCCGATTGGGCAGGATCACCCTCGGACAGACGCTCTACTTCTGGTTATTGTGTCTTCTTCGGAGGAAACTTAATCTCATGGAAAAGCAAGAAACAACCTGTTGTTTCCCGATCTAGTGCAGAAGCTGAGTATCGTGCAATGGCAAATACTACTTGTGAGTTGATCTGGTTAAAGCAGTTGATTCAGGAGCTTCATCTTTGTGAACAAAAACAACCCATGACACTCATCTGTGATAATCAAGCTGCGCTACATATATCCTCTAATCCTGTTTTTCATGAGAGGACCAAACATATAGAGATTGATTGTCACTTCATTCGGGAAAAGATTCAGTCAGGAGAAATCGAGACAGCTTTTGTCAACTCGTCTAATCAACTAGCAGATGTTTTCACTAAAGCTCTTAGAGGTCCTCGGGTTGAATACATTTGTAACAAGCTTGGTGCTCATAATATATACGCACCAGCTTGAGGGGGAGTGTTAGAATATTAGATATGATATGATTAGATTTGATTAGATATGATTGGATTCTGTCTTATCCGTAAATAGTCTGACTGTATTTTGACTGTATTAGGATTAGATTTGGATTAGGTTTGGGCCTTACACTTAAGCCTATTAGGGTCTCTATATATTGTAACTCCCTGACACAGATCAATACACAACGTATTCTTTTACATTTAATTGTCACCAACAACAAACTGCCTTTGATGATTTAATGGTTTTGACCAAAATTTGAATGATAGATTAGTGCTTTTGATGTAGGCAAAACAGGGATAAAATAGGCAAGTTAGTTCAATTACTAATGGTGTTAAATGTGGGTTTTTTGAACTTTTCCTTTTTTTTTTTTTAATTTAGTTGGATGGCCATATTCCACATGGCCTTGTGGCCTTTTTGGCCCTGACTTTTGTGGGCTGGGGTGGGTTGGCCCATATTTATGGCTCTCGATAAATCCTCTAGCGTAAAAATAAGCCTGAAGCTGTAGAGGGGATTTGGCTTGTGTACAGAATCAGAACTCAAAGTTAGTGCTGTCTTCATCTATGTGTAGAAATTTTTGATTTTTTTAAGGCAATAATTTTGGTATGTATCATGGGATTCATTGCTGAGAAATGATTCTACTATAAAGTCTTATTGAAGTACCAAGTGAGATGTTATGACTATAATGCATGGCCAGGTTCACTCACGTATTCCTTTTTCTTGATAAGAGAGACATTATAATGTTATAGGATATAAGATGCTGATATCAACTTTACTGGCTGAAATTTTCATCTTTGGAGTTAGAATATTTGTATAGATTCATGTACTCATGTTATTAGTTATCGGCAGGCCAAAATAAGAATCAAACAAGGGTGATGTCTGGCTATGTTAGACGAGCTTTCTCATGGCGGAACATGTTTTGGCTCAGAAGCTCTGCTCTTCATGTTTGTGACGTCTCTCCCACTAAAATTTGTATGTCTGATAGCAATAGAGTGCTTACTCTTCCAGTGACACCTAATTTTATCATAGAAAGTCGCAGAGCCTTTGCCAAAGGGCGAAAGTCAAGTATGTCTTTACATCTCTGCTGACAAATCATTTTTCTTATGCTGGTCAGTTCTTTTTCGGATTATGTTGATACTTGGCAGGTGATTTTTCTGATTAAAACATGTTAATACTTGATAGCTTGCGTGAACATTTTCTTTGTTGAATAATCAGTGTGTGCAAATACTGATTAGTATTGTTCTTTGATTTTAATGGTCATTGGTTTGTACATTTTAGAAGATGAAGTGGGTGTCAGTACAATTGAAGTTCCACCAGATGTTGGGCCTAACATTAAGGCAAATGCTGTCTCACAAATGGAGGCTGCAATGGCTGCATTATCAGCAGAACTAAGCAAACTACGAACAGGAAGGGCATCTTCAGGTATATTATGTCTGTCATAATTGTTTATGAATCATCTGTGTATCTGATAATTAATACTCAACACACTAATGATGGGAATGTCTATACAGGAATGCTTGATCATATTATTGTTGAAACTGGTGGTGTGAAGATGCCTTTGAATCGGATTGCTGTTGTTTCAGTCATAGACGCAAAAACCTTATCTGTTAATCCTTATGATCCAGAGGTACTTTATCTTAGGAGATGGAGTTTGTTTTTCGTAAAATGCTAAGTACTAAACTAGTATTACTTTTGCATATGATATGACTGACTTCTGCAGACACTTAAACAATTAGAGAATGCCATTGTTTCATCTCCATTGGGGTTAAATCCTAAAGCAGATGGTGAGAGATTGATTGCTGTTATTCCACCGTAAGCACTTATTCTATTTACATTTAGTTACTCATGCCTGTTGGAGTGAAGTTTGTTTGGATATATAGTGGATATTAAAGAACTTGACTTTAATCAATTTACTAATTTTACTTCTCCACCATGAAATGACCAGATTGACCAAAGAGCATATTCAGGTAAGCTCCTTACACACAATTTGTTTATGGTTTTCACTTAAACACTCTTAAGCAGGTAGCATGCTGCTATATTCTATTGTTTGACATTTATTTCAGGCCATGAGCAAGGTTGTTACTAAATCTTGTGAAGATACCCGGCAAAGTATTAGAAGAGCTCGGCAAAAGGTATGGTGTGGTTTTTGATATTTCTTGACGTTTTTTTGGTAGATTTGCCTTTTATTAACTTACAGGATTAAGGAATGGATAGTTGCTGAAAGAATTAAGACTTCTCCCTTTCTGTGTATCTTTTCAGCCATGTTGAAGCATTAGCTAGCACAATTTTTTCATTTGCTGCATTCTGCTGAGTTTTGTAATATTTACTTTGTGCTTATCTTTTCAGTCCATTCTCCCTTGAAGCCCAACCTGTTTATTTCCTGATTTATGATGCATGATTATTATTATTATTATTATTATTATTATTATTATTATTAGAGAAGATACGACCACTCTTTTGTGATTGAAAAGTCACTGGTTTGAATCTAGGAATAGCCTTTGCAGATATGCAAAGTTAAGGCTGTGTACAGGGATTGCTCTCACCCCTACCCTCGCTAGTCAGGGTTTAATGCCAAGGGTGGTTTTCTATTAGATAAGATATAACATTTCAAAACTGAAAAAAAAAATGCACAAAATAGGATAGGGCCTGGGATTAAGGTTTTGGGCTGTCTATCTATTTCCAAATTAAAAGGGTAGTCCTCTTGCCATTATCTTTTTTTTTCTAATGGTGTAACATATTTTTCTGCAAACTGTGATTAAAGATGTTGTTAATTTTACAGGCAATGGATACAATTAAGAAATTATATTCAAGTCTCCCCAAGGATGACATAAAAAGATTGGAGAAAGAAGTAAGTTATATATGCTTTTTGCGGCTGATAAGATAACCAGATTCCATAGCTTTGGTAGTTTGATTTATGATATTTCCTGCCTACAGGTTGATGATTTGACAAAAAAATTTATCAAGACTGCAGAAGATGTATGCAAGGCAAAGGAGAAAGAAATTACTCAAGGTTGAGATTTGGTGTTATTGATATGTTTTGCAGAGGATTCACTGCTTCATTTCTCCTTGTAATTTGCTGGGGCCTGAAATTTGTCTGGTATAAGCCAAGTGTCATTTAATCAAGTCATTATATGTTAAGGACTATTCTGGCAATTTCAAATGCATAAAAGATGAGTCTCTCAGTCTCAACCTACCCGGTTTGGAGTTGCTACATTTGTGCAGGCTGCTGTGCTTTGTGGTTGATCAGCATCTTGTGTTTATGATTACTCTTCTAGTTAGTTCTAAATTTGTGTATGTTATGTTCAGTACTAAACATGGAGGGTGGTGCAGAGATTTAAGTGGTGATATAAGGTAATTGAAGCTGACAATCAATTAAGAGTTTAGGATATGATATGTTGGCATCAAGTCAGTTATTTTAGCTGCTTTTTAGACATGATTCAGCCATTGCATGATGCTGTTCATGCTTTCTAGAATATTATTACTTTTATTTTATTAGTTATGATGTTTGTTACCATGAGGCCAAAGGGTTAATAACACAAATTTTGGAATGTTATTTAGCAGATTATATTTATGTAGTCATTAATATTTTGTTTGTTTAGCAACAATATAATGGCACTTTTAAATAAGTTATATTTATAATTATTTCGTTATCAATGGATTATCTGACGTCATTTATTTTAAAAATAAAAAATTACTGATTAAAAGGACTTTTATTTGAACTTTTTCAAGTGAAAAAAGAATACAAATACAACTTCATTTGTTTTTGTTTTTTTTTTAAAATAAAGGTTACAAATAAAATTGATAATGCAAACTTTTTAAGTCAATAAGGGGTTAAAATTAAACTCATTTATCTCGAGAAAAATAGTAACTCTTCCCACAGTTTTTTGTTGGTCAAATCCACCTTACCCCTCTTAAAAACACATTCAATGTGATATTTCTCTTAAAACACAATTGCACGATATTATTTTCGAGGGAAAATGGGTTTGAATGGCCATATTCTAATTCAATAAGGCAAAGTGAACTGTTGCATTTGTTGAGTTTGTTGTTTGGATGAAGTGGAATTGCTACATCATTCAAACTCAATGATTTCGTCCAAAAACTATTCCCTGAGTTGTTGTATCATTTACGGCTCATTCAAAATGTGGTGCTCTTATGCGTTATTTTTACATTTTTTATGATATCGTTTTGGTAGATAAGACACAAGGAAAAGTAAATGGTGGGATAATTGACAAAGGAGAATATTTTTAGTACATCCGGACCACGTGGTCCTTCCACTCAATAGATGATATTTGTCTTACAAAAATATTTTTCTCTCTTTCCAAGACAGATTATATTCTCTCTCTGGTTTTGATTGGTTTGTCTACTGGATGGATGGAGATTCGGGTTCACAAAAACTATTTCCCTGATAAAGCTAGGTATCCACCCATGATGACCTTTTGAAGTTTATGGTTTAAATCCAGATATATTTTGAATTGAGCGTTTACCTTTGAATTTGAGTGTTTTATTGTTTTTCAATTTTTTGGCGATAGCAAAAAAAATTTAACTCGACTTTCTGATTGCTCTCATGGTCAAAAGTATTAAAGTGAAAATAACATAACTTCTAAGGTATATTTATATTGACTCATCAAAATAAAATACAAATATGTTTTGAAGTTTTGAAAATCTAACTCTATAAACATCATTTCTCTATAAAAGCACACGATATTTCAAGCTTCAAAATATATTTTAGACAATGTTTTGAAGTTTCAAAAAGGAAAATTTTTGGTTGGATGTTTACCGAAGGAAGAAGTGTTATCATTATTAAGTTAATTTTTTTTTAATCTAAGGTATATTATATTGACTCATCAAAGCAAAATACACTATAGCACAAAATACCTTATCAGGTCCAAATCCCATTGATAGCTGGTGAAATTAAATTTAGGTGCAGAAAATAGACTATTAGACTACAATGTGTTTGGATTATCCATGAAAAAAGAAAATAACATATTGTATTAGAAATCAATTATGTATAACAAAAGATGAATTCATGTCTAGATATATAAAATTTTACAAGATTTTGTTTGAATTATGTATAAAGAATTGGGAAATATATTTTTCATATTACATGTGACAATTTGTCTCATACAACATACAAAAAGTGAATGAGTCTCAATTTTTTTTTTCTTTTTAATGGATTCCACATATTTTTTTGTTTGTTGCATGAGATAAATTATCTTATATAATATAACAAACATATTTAGAATATCCAAAAGGATAAGATTCCTCCTCTCACAAATCCAGAAATCTCGTGTACCAAAATTTTGCCTTTTTACATATAAAGAATCATCTTATATTAAGTAAACTAAAGAGGTAAAGTAATGTAAAGAACCTTGGGATACACAACCCCAAAAGCTAGTTCAAAGGGTGAGAGTGTCCAAAATCTTATAAACTCCACATTAGTTGCACATACAACCAATGTGAGACTATATATCTCAACAACTAACTTGATAAAATTACATAATATTTGGTGTTTTAGGATTAATTTAGTCAAATGCTCGAAAGTTGTCAAAATAATCATCCAACGTTACAATTCAAAAGCTCATTTGAAGAGAAAAGTATTGTAGTAAAAAATAATGGACCAGTACAAAAAAAAATTTAATAAAAGGAAAATTTTCTGCTACCATAATTCTTTAATGCAAAGTTTAATATTATGACAATTTTCTAAAATCCTAAAAAAAAGTTCTCCCAATAATAGCTCACTTGTGACATTAACCATTCAAAATATAATTGATATGCATTGCATGGTGACCATAGATGGTGCCAGCACAAGAACATACTAACAACGATTTTCCAGCACATTCAGCATGTCTACAGATTTGCTTCTGTGCCCACCATAGATTTCTGATTGCCTCTTTGATTGGATACTGAGACCAATGCATTCATTTATAATTATACTTAAACGGTGCAAAAGCCAGAACGCAAATCCCGCATGAAGGCAAACTCACACAAACTTTGAAACATACTCTTTACATCCACATCATCATAAAATAGTTTGAAAAAGCAATGGGCTATAACCATATCTACGAATTTATTCTTGGAATAATTATCATGCAATGGACACAACAAAAAATAAACAAATAAATTTATCCCCAATTAGTATCTTCACAGTCTAGAGCAGTAATAAAACTGCTCCTTTGAGACTAAAAGGTCGTGGGGTTTGAATATAGAAAACATTCTTTTTGTAAATATGCAAGGATAAGATTGCATGAACATATAAATCCTCCAATCATTCATATTAATAAGCCACTTGAACCCTTATAAACTAGAATAATTCCATAAAAAAAATATAATTAGTGCTGATTGATTTAGCATGACATTATTTGAAACAGGTGAATAATGCCTTGCAGTGTCAATAAGTTGTAGGGAAACATAGATATGCATGAAAATGATGAGAAACTAAGCAAAGCTGCGGTCTGTGTCCTTTTCTTCTCCAATGTATTTAATTTTTTTTTTGCATTCAATCAGTTGCCTTGTAAAAAGATGCCGTATGTGCTCTATTTTTGATAATCCATTTCTCTACATCAGACATATATTTCCTTGCCGCAGTTATTGTTTATCAAAAGTTTTATCTGAATAAGAAATGGGAAAAGTGTTTGTCGTTTTAAATGATAAAGTTATGTCATTTTAAAAGATAGATAGACACAAAATAATATTTTTTTTAAAATTTAAATTAAAAAAAAAATCACTCACTTTCTCTCTCATTATTTTCATTTCTTGTGTTTATCTCTTTCTTAAAATGACAAAACTTATGTCATTTAAAATGACAAACATCAAATCCATAATAAATATATATAAGAAAAAGTAATGGACGAAAGTGTCCAACCATCAATCCACAATTTCATATATCAGTAATGTGCCCTTTGTAAAGATATCCTTAGTCCAAGACCCTTCTTCAAAAGGAAAATAGTTTTCAGTAGGACTGCACGCGTTCTTCCAGCAAAACAAATTGACCAACCATAGATATATGAGGGTAGGGATATGCTCAAACAACAGAAAATTCTATGGAGGTGCCCAGTTCTATAGGAGTTGATATGTAGATTATTCCAAACCAATCGGAGTAGATAATAGTGATCATCCATTGCCAAGACTTGTGACTTCATTTTTAGAGAACAATAGATGAATACTTAATTCCTAAAAGGTAAATTGTTCCTATAAGTAAGAGAAAAGAATGTAACACTTTGAATCTAAGGTGATTAAAATGCACAAGTCTCGGAAGTGAACTCCACATCGCAAAGAAAGGGTTTGACAGAGTCCAAATAGGTAGCGTTTTGCCTTTCAGATTAAACATAAAATTGGTTATGTTGCACAAGATCATAACTTACATGGTTGAAAGCTTCAGATGTTTTTTCCAGAAAGGTCCAAATTTTTCAAGTGGCCATACCTACAGACAAAACATCAAACGATTAGGAAAAAGAGACACAGAAGAAAGAGAGAGAGAAGGGGAGGGCGTCCTCAAAGCATACACAAAATCTTACCCTCCAGAATATCCTTCTCTGAATATGGCCATAGGGAACAGGTCCAAAATGTGTTGAATCTTTACTATTGTAAATGTTATCTCCTTGTACCCAAACGTGACCCTTTGGAACCTATAGAAGGAAGGCAGACTTAGAAAACAAATTCTGCAAAATACATTCCACAATGGAAAAATTCAATAAATGTCACACTTCCCTATACCAAGTCCATGCTTAAAATGATGAAGCCAAAACAAAGACAGTTCACAAAGCAGCTATCCCAAAAAATAAACAAATAACTTCAAATACTAGCAAAGCAAAATCCATAATCAAAATGATCAAAAATCACTAAAAAGGGGATTTTTTTATATAAGAAATTAACCATACCAAAACTGTCGTATGCTTATTTGTCTTCTGGGTACGAGAATTGTATGTAATGCTATCACCCTCCATTCCAACCAAGCGTTTGACGATAAACTTTCTAGGGTTTCGAGGTGAGCGCAAGACTATAATATCTCCACGAGCAAGAGCAACTTTACCAAATCGAGTTGGGATCCTTTCCCCCAAAAACACGTTCATCAAATCTATTGTAGGAAGCATGCTAGGACCATGGGTCTACAGCATTGGAACTTGTTTTAATGGTTAATCATGAAATAGAATTTAAGATAAATGCAAGGAGTAATCATGTTTACCTTAACAAGGGTGATCGGCCAGGGGCTGGTAACATGTAGACAATAGAACTTAGCAACAGAGATGTTTTTTCCCATGCTTTTTTAATAAAAGTCCCAAATGGCCCCGGGTTTCTCAATCCCATCACTGCCATTTTCCTCTCTCTCCCCAGGTATGAATCCAGAATGTTGTTATCCTTAGTGGAAGATAAGTGCTTTGTTCACCTTTAACAAGCCAAGTAAATGTAAGCATGGCATTGAAAGACACACTTACTAGTGGTAAATTTGTTGGGAAATTCGTTCCCTCAAACTCCAATGTCAAGCGGGTCCAGGGGAAGCCCGTGGCGGGGAACCACCACCAATGAGCTAAGGCTACACCAATCGTAGCAAGTGGATCCGACACCATGTCTCAACCAAAAACCTTAAGGCATTGGGTTCATGGGTCCTTTCACTTATATACTCTTCACTTAGCTCATTACCAACCAATGTGGGACTCATCACACTTGAATATCTCAACAAAATTGAGGACGAATAACACTAGAAGGGTATGGTCAATTCAGGCATGAACAAAAAATGGGGAAGGTGATTATTGGGGAAAAGGAAAAGCCACTAGAGTGATGCTTGTACATCTATCAAAAAGCATAAATCAACCACATTACCAGAATATCAAAGATCTATACCAAAGGGAAAAGGGAAGGGTCTCCAAATCAACTCTTCAAGCTCATAACTCTAAGCTGTCTCCCGTTCAGCCAAACAAGCTCAAAACAGCTTCTATAGGAATTGAAAATAAAGAGGGTGCAATACTGCACAGGAACCGAAAGAACTCAGCATTCACACACAAACACACACTCTCTCTGCATGATTCAGACCATACATCAAACAGTTTGTGGGTAAAATCAAAATTGTGCAAAATGGAGGAATAAATTCTGAAAAGTTACCTCTTATTAGTTATAAGCAACCCTGCATTTGCAGTGAAAAGATGGAGGAGAAAAAGGAATAACAAATTCTGATACAACCACTTAAATGACATAGCCACTAACAACTCAGCATTCACACTTTTTGCATTTTTGTTCCTCTATCTGTTATTCTTACTGGTCACGTAATTTAAATGGTTGTAACAGAATTTGTTACTCATTTTTCCCTCTCCTTTATGTACCTATTCATTTTGTGCAGATTACATCATCAATGATGAACATACAGAGTTTGTTTTCTTCTCCATCTATTCACTGCAGATGCAGGGTTGCTTATAACTAAGGGTTATGTTTATCTCATTTTACATGAGATAAACATCTCTCCTACACACACAAAAAAGGTTGGGTCCCACCACTTTTTTTTCTCTCTCTCCTCTTACATGTGGGTCCCACTTATACTTTTATTTCTACAACATGAGGTAATTCTTTTCCTACAACATAAGAAAAATATATCCCTATAACTAATACCTCTCAAGATGATAAATGAATTCCACTCTCTTCACTTCAGTTCTCTACTCAGCTGTCTCTCATGTAAGAAATTGTTATTTGTAATATTTTAAAACATCACCCTACCCCACCGATAAATTAAGAATTTAATAAGTTAAATATGATTTTCATAAATAAATCTATAATTGACAATGGATAAATATAGAAAGATTATAATAATTATTTTCAGCCACTCTTAAGAATGAAAGTGCAAACACTGCTCGTTATTTCACAATATAAATGGATACTGGCGAAGTAACTCGAAAAATAGTGATAAAAATATTAATATTTCTAGAAAAATATCTAGGTCAAGAATATCAAATTTGGGATGAGAATAATAAACAGCGTAATCGGAACTAATACCGGCTATTTCGCAGTAGAAAGTACATACCGGCAAAGTGTCTCAAAAAATTAATGTAAAAATATGATAATTCTTAGAAAAATATCTAGGTTAAGAATATAAAATTTTAGAGTTAAACGAAGAGCGAAACTAATTAAACTAATATTGTTACTTTAAGTAAATGCACCTATATATAGTTAAAGAGCACTAAACTCTTGGTCACATTTCTAACTCCCACACTTAGTCATATTCTTTATTCTTCTCACTAAGCAAGATCACCTCCCTCTTCCATGGAAAACACCAAAAGAAGCAATATTTCTTCTTATTTCTTCCACTTAAACACCATAGAACCTTAAAAGAAAACATCTTGTAGAGGAGGAAAAACTCATTCTTGGTGTGTTCAAGTTTCTATTTTGGAGAGGTTGAGGGCTGTACATCCTTGTTGGTGTGGATAGAGCCATTTCTACACACTTTGGGGGTACCAAGGAGCTACATTTGTGGAGAAAGAACCAAACTTAGAAGCTTATATTCGTGCACTTTATTGGACAGTAGCTTGAAGTTGTAGCAAGGCCTCAAAAGTCTCTTCTTTTGTTGTTTTCAAGCATTGGGTATACACTCTACTCTTTCCTCTTTATTTTCTATGAAAAATATGAAGTTTTAGGTTGTTAAAAAGGGAAACTTTGATGATTCAAGTTAAAGGTTGTTAATTTAAATGTGATATAGTATATTAAACTTCTGTTTGTTGGTAAATCGAAGGTTGAAACCTTGGAGGGCCATTGGAACTCGAATTATGCAGAAAAATTTGTATTTTTGCGTTTCTGCACTGGTGGTAATCAATTACCTTAGAGTGGTAATCGATTATCATGAAGGGTAGTCGATTACTCCTGTATGGTAATCGATTACCTAGTGCAATTGTGACAACAACATACTAGTTTGGTAAAATCGCGATATCTCGGGCTACAGAGGTCCGAATTGAGTGAGGTTTGGACCTGTGTGAAGCTAACACATAGGGCTAAAACCTTATAAAATTTCAGATCCATTGGATAAGTGGATTGATCGCGACTTGCTGTTGGAAATTCAGTTTGCAGCAGTCACTTTGCGACAAATATAATTGGAGTTATACAACTCCAAATGAGACATAGAATATGTCGTTGGAAAACTTAAATTGTCTAGTTTACATATTAAAATCTCAGAATTTTTGGTAAAGAGTTGAAATCGCAGTTTTAAAAATGGTAAACAAGGTTTGTTGTCATATTTACAATTAGAGTAGTTTCTTTGGAATGAATTTCAAGGAAACGACTTGTAAACTCTATTGTGCTAGTGGGTGAGGTTCTAAAAGGTATAGGACCTTAGGGAGTTGATCTAATTCCTCCCACCTTGAGTTGGTATCCCTATGTAAAGAGTGGCTACGTAAAAGATAGAGTACAACCCCTTTTGGGTCGTTAACAAAAAATGCGGCCCTCACTTTAATCCCTTACAAAAAACAATTATCGTCTAGTCCCTATGAAATTCAAAGTGGACCCATTTTAGTCATTTTGAGGGACTAATGTGAGTCTTTTTGAATTTACGAGGGACAATGATTTCAACTAAATGGGTCCATTTTGAATTTCTTAGGGACCTCGGGACTAATTTTTTTTTGTAAGGGACTAAAGTAAGAACCGTGTTTTTTGTTAGGGACCCAAATGGGGCTTTACTCTAAAAGATAATATTGAAATGAATGTTGTAAACTAGTATATTTGCTAATTGTCGTTACATCTTTGAAATATATTGTGATTTATGAGGGCCTGTGATTGTGGTCCTTTGGATACTGAGAGTACATTGGAGTATATTGCAGATAAAGGTAAGCTTCGTGTTCTTAGGGTTAATCCCTTGTTTATTCCACCAAACTCCATGGGAGGTTGGTTTATATGCATGACATGTTTTTTCTGAAAATGGTTATGCACAGATGTTTATCTTATGTATTTGGTAATACATGATAATATGAGATATTGTGCATTGTATTCATATGTATGTATGTGGGGTAGTGTGAAGCAACACCTGGATGGGATTCCTGAGTATGGTGATTCCATACAAGGGGTAGAACTCATGTAGTGTGGGTATAGGGTGAATCCTTATACTTTGTCTGTAGGTTGTAGACGTGTGTAATGCCTATTTTGTTCTCTAGCCAGTAGACTTGTGAATTTTAGCGAACCTACATGATATACATATGATGCATCTTTATATTGTTTTGTATTGTTCATACTTATACTATACCTGTAAGTGAACTTTGGGCATAGTGATCCCTCGAGAACCCCAGTTTACTGAGATTGTCATCTCACCCCGTTTGGGGAATATATTTTAGGTACTAAGATTATTGATGTTGATGCATCTCGTGGCGTTAGGCCCGCGTAGTGATTTTAGCATGACATGACACATGCATTGCTTTCATTTGATATTTATATGTATCTGTATGAGATATGAATGCCGGTTGGATACTTATTGTATATGTTTATATTTGATGTGAGCATAGGGGTTGTCTATGCCTTCTTGAATAAGATTATGTTATTGTAGTTGGTCATATGATGTTATGACATGTTTCATTAAGTGATGATCATTATAATAATGGTATGTATAGGATAATCTACACAATGAATTGCTAGGAAATATCAATTAGGTATGTACTATTGGTATAAATATTTTGAGATGTGATGATGTGAGTATTAAGAAATGTATAAATATGCATAAATGAAGTACCTAGAATTCACATGTTTAACTTAACGACTGGGTAATGAAAGAAATAGGAATGGTTGTGTGAAATTTATAAAATAAGTAAGGGAGTGCTAAGTATGGCCAAATATGACAAGTGTGAATGTAATTTGATAATATAGATATCAAGACTTGTATGTTTTAAAAGGGGCATTAAGCTTAAGGACGTTCTCTCGTAAGATAAAGTTAATGACATATGTAAATAATCATGTATGTAAATTGAAAATAAGATAATTGGAAGAACAAGTAATATAGAGTGCAATTAACTTGACATGCAAATAATTATTATAAATTAATAGAATGAAAAAATTTTATTCACGTTTTTACATGAGATTAATTATGAATTAAGATGATTAGCTTCCACATTTATTTGATTAATTAGTTGTGCTTAATACCATTCTGATGTTAACAAACTGGGTCGACACAGGGTGTTACACACTACAAAAAATCATGTGTTTTGTGGGGGTCATATTTGCAAATTATGGGGGTCTTTGACCCCTACAAAAGACATTAGTGGCATCTTCATCAACCTCCAGTTTTGCATGCGCCACAACACA